TAGCTTGCTGTATAAGTCCATGGCTTCAAGAGCCCTAGTGCAAAAGCCCATGCCATTCAAAAGTGTTTCTTCTCCATTTCATTGGAGGTCTTATATTAGAGTGTGTCTCAGGTACACAGTGGGATGGTCACACTCTTGATCTATCTATTACACACAAATGTCCTTTCTTCATCAGCCATGATGGGATTTGAACTCAGGTCTTCCTGACTCCAAGCCCAGCATTCTATCCATTGCACTATCTAGCTACCCAAAAATATTTACACTTATTAGTCATAAAACATGCAAATTAGCTGAGGTACCTATTAGGCTTTGTGGCAAACATTCAGTGCCTTTCCAGGGAATCAAAATGTATCTGGAAGAACAAAACCTCTTCTTGGCTCTTTTGTAATCAGAGATCTAAAGATTCAGGTTGTTGACATCACTCCTCGGTCACCTGAGTGCAAAACAGTCCCGGGAATTCCAGGTACTCTCTGATGCTTAGCTAGTGGACCATGCTTGGCAATTCAAGCAAGGTAGCTTTGCTCAGCTAAATCAACTTAGGCTTCCTCAATGAATATCCTTCTGCTACAGCTAAATAAATCTCCTTTTGTTAACTTTTGGATGATTTGAGTGTCACATTTCATTGTAACTGATTATAAACCACCAGGGGACTGGCCTGACGCAAGGCCAAGCCCAGAACATTAAGTGATACCAATACTAAGCATGTACCTCAGAGAGATCAAAAAAAGAAGAAAACAATCCATATGCACAAAAATATTTATGGCAGCACTTTTTGTTGTATTAGAGAACTAGAAACAAAGTGGATACCCATCTATTCAATTTCACAAATATATGTGATACTATAATACAGAGGGGGTGATGAGAAATGCAAAGGAGAAGGCAATTTCCTACTAATTTAAAGTATTTCTTTTCTTTTTATTTTTTTAAATAGCATCTTATTTTTTCCCTAGTTACACGTCAAGAAAATTTTTAGCATTTTTTTACAAGATTTTGAGTTCTGAATTTTTCTCCCTCCCCTCTTCTGAAAATGTAGGCAGTTTGATGTAGTTTACACATGTGCTATCATGTAAAAATATTTCCATGTTAGTCACAGTTGTGAAAGAAGAAACAGATCAAATGGGGAAAAAAAACATGAGAAAGAATAAAGTAAGTAAAAAAATGTGCTTCAGTCTGCATTCAGTGTCCATCAGTTCTTTATCTGGATGTGGATAGCATTTTCCTTCATGAGTCCTTCGTACTTGTGTTGCTGAGAAGAGCTGAGTCATTCACAGTTGATCATCACGCAAGTTGCTGTTACTGTGTATAGTGTTTTTCTGGTTCTGTTCATTTCATTTTGCATCAGTATATACAAGTCTTTCCAGGTTTTTCTGAAATCTGCCTCTTCATCATTTCTTATTGCACAGCAGTTTTCCATTACATTCATTATACCACAGTTTGTTCAGCTATTCTCCAGTTGATGGGCATTCCCTCAATTTCCAATATTTTGCTACTGCAAAAAGAGCTGCTATAAATATTTTTGTACCTGTGGGTCCTTTTCCTTTTTTTTTTTTTATGATCTCTTTGGGATACAGACCTAGTAGTGGTATTGCTGGGTTTTGTTCCAACATACTCCAGCATACCGCAGCAAGGGTATGCACATTTTTATAGCCCTTTGGGCCTAGTTCCAAATTGCTCTCCAGAATGGTTGGATCAGTTCACAACTCCACCAGCAGTGCATTAGTGTCCCAATTTTCCCACATCCTCTCCAGCATTTATCATTTTCCTTTTCTGTCATAGTAGCCAATCTGATAAGTGTGAGGTGGTACCTCAGAGTTGTTTTAATTTGCATTTCTCTAATCAAAAGTGATTTAGAGCACCTCTTCATATGTCTATAGATAGCTTAGATTTCTTCATCTGAAGACTGCCTATTCATATCATTTGACCATTTATCAATTGGGGAATGGCTTGCATTCTTGTAAATCTGACTCAGTTCTCTATATATTTGAGAAATGCGGCCTTTTTCGGAGACATTTGCTGTAAAGATTGTTTCCCATCTTTCTGCTTTCATTCTAATCTTGGCTGCATTAGTTTTACCTGTACAAAAGCTTTTTAATTTAATATAATCAAAATTATCTATTTTATGTTTTGTAATGCTCTCTATCTCTTGTTTGATTATGAGTTCTTCGCCTCCCCATAGATCTGACAGATAGACTATTCCTTTCTCTTCTAATTTGCTTATGGTGTCACCCTTTATGTCTGTATCATGCTAAAGGTCTGTCATATCTAACTTTTTTTTTTAAGGCAGTTGGGGTTAAGTGACTTCCCAGGGTCACATGGCTAGTAAGTGTCTGAGGCCAGATTTGAACTCAGGTCCTCCTGCCATCAGGGCTGGTGCTCTATCCACTGAGCCACCTAGCTGCCCCCTAATTTTTCTAGTATTCTATTTACCTCCTTAATTTCTTTCTTGTTTATTTTTTGGTTGGATTTGTTGAGTTCTGAGAGGGGACAGTTGAGGTCCCTCGCTAGTATAATTTTGCTGTCTCTTTCTTCCTATAACTCGCTTAACTTCTCCTTTAAGAATTTGGAGGCTATACCACTTGGTGCAAATATATTTAGTATTTATATTGTTTCATTGTCTTTGGTATCTTTTAGTAAGGTCTAGTTTCCTTCCTTATGTCTTATAATTAGGTCTGTTTTTGTTTTTACTTTGTCTGAGATCAGGATTGCTACCCCTGCTTTTTTTAACTTCAGCTGAAGCATAATAGATTCTGTTCCAGCCCCTTCTGTTTCTCTGCTTTAAGTGTGTTTCTTGTAAGCAACATATTGTAGGATTCTGCTTTTTGATCCACTCTGTTATCTGCTTCCATTTTATGGGAGAGCTCATCCCATTCACATTACAGTTATGATTACTACTTGTGTTTTTCCCTCTTCTATTCTTCCTCTTGTCTGTCCTCTCCTTTCACCCTTTCCCTGCTCACCAATGTTTTGCTTCTGTCTACCACCTCCCCTGATCTGCCCTCTCTTGTGTCAGTATCTCCCCCACCCTTTACTTGATCTCCTCCCCCCCTACTTCCCTGTCAGGTAAGATAGATTTCAATATTCAACTGATTTTGTATATGACTCCCACTCTGAGCCAATACTGATGACAGTAAGGTTTAAGCAATGCCCATCACCCCCCTCCTCTCTTCCCCTCCACTGTAACAGGTCTTTCTCACCTCTTCATGTGAGATAATTTACCCCATTCTACCTCTCCTTTCCTTCTGCACCCACTGAACTCCTCTTTCTCATCCCTTAATTTTTTTTATGTCATTCTCTCAAATTCACCTTATACCCATACCCTCTGTCTATGTTTATTGCTTCTATCTGTATTCTTAGTGATGCAATTTTTAAGAGTTACAAATATCATCTTCCCATGTAGAGATGTAAACAGTTTACTCTATTGAATCCTTTCTGTTTTCTTTTCCCCTTTTACCTGTTTATGCTTCTCTTAGGTCTTGATATTGGAGGTCAGATTTTTGGTTTAGTTCTGGTCTTCTTATGAAAGCTTGAAAACCTTCTATTTCATCAAATGACCATTTTTTCCCCTTGATGTATTATGCTTAATGTTGCCAGGTAAGTGATTCTTGGTTGTAGTCCTGGCTCCCTTGCCTTCTGGAATATCATGTTCCATCACATCTGATCCTTTAATGTTGCAGCTGCCAGGTTCTGTGTAATCCTGATTGTGACTCCCCAATATTTGAATTGTTCCTTTCTGGCCACTTGTAGTATATTTTCCTTGGCCTGCTAGCTCTGAAATTTGGCTATAATATTCTCTGGAATTTTTATTTTGGCATCTCTTTTAGGAAATGATCAATAGATTCTTTCAATGCCTATTTTGCTTTCTGTTTCCAGAACAGCAGGGCAGTTTTCCTTGATAATTTCTTGAAAGATGTTGTCTAAGTCTTCATTTTGATTATGACTTTCAGGTAGTCCAATGATTCCAATATTGTCTCTCCTGTATCTATTTTTCAGGTCAGTTTTTTCCCCCATGAGGTATTTTACATTTTCTTCCTGTTTTCATTTTTTTGAATTTGTTTGATTGATTCATGATGTCTCATAGCATCATTAGCTTCCACTTCCCAATTCCAACTTTTAAGGTGTTATTTTTCTCAATTAGCTTTTTTGTTTTTTGTGAGGCAAACGGGGTTAAGTGACTTGCCCAGAGTCACACAGCTAGTGAGTGTCATGTGCCTGAGGCCAGATTTGAACTCAGGTCTTCCTGACTCCAAGGCCAGTGCTCTATCCACTGTGCCACCTCTCTGCCCCTCTCAATTAGCTTTTATACTATTTTTTTTTCCATTTGGCCAATTGTACTCTTTAAGGAGTTGTTTTCTTCTGTGGATTTTTGTATCTCCTTTTCTATTTGGCCAGTTCTTCTTTTTAAACAGTTTTCCGAGCTGTTGCCTCTTTTTTTTTTTTTCATAATTCTCTTATATCACTCTCATTTCTTTTTCCATTTTTTTCTTCTACCTCTCTCATTTGATTTGTAAGCTCCTTTTTGAGCTCTTCCATGAGTTCTTTCTGGGCTTGAGACTACTTCCTATTTTTCTTTGGGGTTTTGCCCATAGGTATTTTGACATCGTTATCTTCTTCTGAGTTTGTGTCTTGGTCTTCCCTGTCACCATAATAATTTTCTGTGGTCAGATTCTTTTTGGGTTTTGCTTATCTATTTTTTTTGAGGGGGGGGCTTTTCCGTTTTTTAAAAAATTTGAGCTCTGTACCCAGGGTGGAAGAGGCACTGCCTCAGGCTTCTTGTGCCAGCAGCTGCAGGCCCTGGGTGTTTACCTGGTGGTGTGCTGATGTTGTCCTGGGACTCCGGGGGACCCTTGTGTCTGGTGCTGTGCTGAGGGGATGAGGTGAAGGGTGGCTGGCACTGCTAGAAGTGGCAGGGGTCCGGTAGCTTACGGGGTGATGAGCCAAGGTCCTAGTGCTGGTGTCTGGCCTGTGCTAAGGCCTAATGGGGTGTTTCTGTGTTTCCCCAGGACTACACTGAAGGATGTGGAGGTCTGGCCACTGGAGGATGCCTGTTTGCCCTGGGTTGTGCTGAAGCATGAGGTAGTTCTTAGAACTGGAGTCTGTTGGTTTCCTTGGCTATTCTAAAGGCTCATGAGGGTTGGTGTTTGCCTGTTCTACTACACTGGGGCTCAGGATCTCCCTCTGGTTTGCTGAGGTGGGGCTTGCTATTGGTTTCCTGGGAAGCTTTCTTGCCAATCTTCCAAGTTTTTTGGGCATAAAGATTGTTTCACTTCGTCTTTTTCTTGGTTCTGCTATTCCAGGATTCATTTTGGGCTGCTGTTTTATGGTTGCTTGGAGGTGAATGTGGGAGAATTAATGTCGATTTACTGCTTATTCCACCATCTTGGCTCCTGGAAGTCAATTGTAATAAATTTCTTTTAAATGGAATACATAGGCTATGGGTTCACTCTACCAACTCCCCTCCCTCCCACCCCCACTCCCATTTTGGCAGATTGGTTCCCTAAAACAAGGCTGCCCATATCTATCCCTTTGAGTTCTACAACCCTCAGGGTCTGGAGGATTTCCTAGTACTTTCACTAACAAGCCCCCTCCCTCCAATATCAGTAGACTTGTTGCCATCTCATCAATATTATCCAACCATTGATTTTTGCCCCAATGTCATCTTGACCAATCAGTATCTTCCCAATATCAATTGACCAATTAACATCAGTTACCTTTGATTAAGGAAAATTTACTGAGAATATATATAAACCAGTTGTTATTTTTTATTTATCAATTCAATGGCTTTAGAAAACTATCCCCCTCCACTTTGTGTTTGTCTTAACTCCCTCTGTGATTGTTAAATATGTTAGAATTCTAAAGAGACACTTGTCTTTTCTCTCTTTATTCAAATGTAAGATATTTATGTAGTTAATACTACATAAACTATTAACTTCATCACCATTTAACCTCTTCCAAATGCTCAAATGTATTTTCCTTTCTACATTTTTCTTATTGCCTGTGATTGCTTTTCAGAGTTTCTTCTTGCTCTTGTCATTTTTATCAGGAATATCTGAAACATTTCTATTTTACTCAAGTTCTATTTTTTCTTATAAGATTATACTAGGGAAGATAGTCTTGAACCTAAGTCCTCAGACTCTAGAGTTAGCACTTTTTGTCACCACAGCATACTGTCTCCACACCCTGAATAATCTACAAATAATTAGCCCCACATATAGAAGGGGTTCTCAGCATTTCCTTATTGACTTTTTTTTTCCAGATAAGACAGAGAAATCTCTTTTGTTGAGTATAAATTGTCTAGGGAAGTTGCTTCCAGTTTATCTATTTTATTAATACAAACTATAAATATATTTCTCATTTATGACCTAGGACCCCTTTCCCCCATGCACTCTGGACTCATGTGAACGGCGCTTTGAGGGCAAGGACTATTTTTACTCTGTTTTGTATTACCAGAGTCAGTGCCAGGCTCATAATTAGCGCTTAATAAATGCTTGTTGATCTGACTGACTAATACTAGGGGCCTGACCCAAAGAGGTCATTATGTTTCATTGACTCTTTACCCTTTCCCCAGAATTCTAAAAAATCTCCTGAATAAAGCTTATGTTGTGCTTATGTTGGGGTTCATCCAAATGTGAGTAATAGGTTTCTCAATTTCCGTAGAGGCATTCACCTGCAACAGAAAAGTATGTAATCTGGGTGGATGGAATGGCCCATAGAAACCAGTCCTTGAAGCCTCCTTCTCATCATGATGATTCAGGGGTTTGTATTCTGTGATGAGGAAGGTTTCTCTAACTGGCTGCTGAGACAGAACCGAACGGATATATAAAAGGGACAACGTGCCTCTCCTTTGTGTTCTTCATTCTAGCTTCAAAGCATAAAGATAATTCTGAGCTGCTTGGAGGGTCAGGTTGGGGATGTCCTTCCCCAACCAGACCACAAACTGGGAGCACATGGCCTGCCTTTGTTTCTTTGTGTTCTTTTCTGAATGAATATTCCAAGATTGGAGGGTCCAGGTAACCTTGTGAGTTTGGTAGATGCAGAGATCACACCAGTGGTTAGAGCTAAACATCAGTGGAGGCAATCACTGGAGAGCCAGCATCTGTAGCAGGAGTAGAGAAAACACTTTGACCTGAGAAAAGACAACTTCAGGGAAGCCCCATTGTAGCTAAGGACTCAACAGAGGAAGACCCTGGGGGAGCAGCTGGGCTTGCCTTCTCAGTAGAGAGCTGCACCAGATGTCCAGGACTCTACAGAAGGAGAAAAGTACTTACCGGGGCAGAAGTTGTAAGGTACCCCTTTGCTTCATGTATTCTCTACACTTGTGCCTCACTTCCATTATTAAGTTTGAGCTCACTATTCCTATGGATTCTGGGTGTATCGGTGGGATAGTGAGCTTCAGTTTTGAGGAAAATGTTTCAAACAAACTGTTTTTTCAATACTTTCTTGGTAAATTGGCTAATGGAGTATGGCTGACTAATTGTTAATGGGGAGCACATAGGTAAGGACTTGTAAGCAACAGCAGTATAAGACCCAGTCTCTCAAGGTTACCTATCCCTAGAATACTGGGAACCTCATACCATGAGTGAGAGTTGGGGGAGTGACCCCATTATGTACAAATACATAAGACACAAAGTTCTCAAAAGAGCCCATGAAAAAAAATTAGAAACATTAAATCCCCAAATAGTTCATACCGCTTACAACCCAGAAGCTTAATATATTTTGGAGGGGGAGATGATGAACAAATTCTCTTCCATTCTCCTTGGACCTGCGCTGTCTGACCAACTCATTGCAATAGCAGGAAAGAGCTTAGCAAGGTCCAGATCTCCTGGACACCTATGAGATGGCCTTAGTCTTCCAATTATGGATTTGGAGAATGAACTCGCTATTGAGGAAATCTTATCCTTCTAAGAGGCCAATGACTGAATAATTGAACTCAAGAACTCCTAATCTCTCAGGAACTCTGGAATTCAGTATTACCTACAAAGTAACTCCAAAGGCTGGGAAAATCCATTCTCCCTAACTCTAGTCTCTCACCTGTGTTGAGAAAAAGAAAAAAAAAAGGCAGAAGGTATCTAGGGACTGAATAGCTGGAAGCTCTTTTTTCAGGCTCACCACATACATCTTCTGTACCTAGAGTGATGGGAAGGGGAAAAATATCTTCTCTATTTTGTCCTCCACACACCCCCACCAACCCCTTTGCTGAACCAGAGTCTAGAAGTTCATCTGAAAAAGAGCTGAGCCATGATTATAGACCGCAGAAAAAGGGAGGCCCTTTTGACAAATCTGCCTCCTCCCCTACCTAACACTTTGGAAAACAATCAAAGCAGTTCCCTTTGCACTCTCAAGAAAGTGCTGAGCCATGTCCACCTCCTTGGGAGATGCCCTTCAGACAAATGTCAGTGTCCTGTGATCTTAAGTTGTCAAGTTAGCTGAGGGAGAGAAAGTCGATTAATTAAAGTAAGTTGGGGCTCTCTTGAGCAAACCCTCCTATATCCAATAAAATATGTCACATGTGCAATATGTTATACAATATTTTGCTTATAGATATGTGTGTGTGTATGTGTGTGTGTGTGTATATATATACATCATCATCACTATAAAATACTGTCCTGAAGAAAAAAAAAAGAAAAGCCTCTATCTTAAATTTTCCTTATTCCACAGTCATAGTTGAAAGGTCTTTATTTACAACCACAGGATTATGTTGTAAATTGATAATACTCAGTTATTACCTTATAAGAAAGTTAATTCTTTCAATTTCATGCTGGGTCTTCTCTGCATAATTCAATATTAGTCCTCATTCCTCCTTTGGAAATGCATCATTGTTATTGATTATATGCCCCATTCTGCAAAGGATGTTCCTGGACATTGATTTTTTTTTTTAGTGTCTTATAACTGAAACATGCTGGTTTACTTAAATGATCAAAGCAAGAGAGAAAAATGTTTAAATTCTAAGAAAACTTTCAAGGTCAGACTGAATTTTCACTTCAAACAGTTGAAAATATTTGATTTTATATAGATTGAGGGGGTGTTAAGAAAATAAACAATGTTGTGTGTAGCTTGGAGTTCTGATACTTCATTGTATCTAAAGCATTTTTTTAAAGGCCAGATATTTTATCTCAACTAATGTACATCACATGAAAATTAAGACAATTCCATCGTTTACAAATAAATAGAAGACAAAGTACTCCTACTAATACTCTAGCTGTGATCCTTGGAGAATGAACTTGCTATTGAAGTATCCTCCTAAGAATTTGAATTCAGGAAATCTTGATCTCTTGGGAACTCTGGAACTTGTACTACCTACAAAGTAAACCCAAAGACTGGGAAGATCCATTTTCCAGAACTCTAGTCTCTGCCCTGTTTTGAGAAAAGGAGACAGAAAAGCAGAAGGCACCAGGGATTGGATATCCAGATCACTTAGCATTTCATTATTTCCTTTTCTTCATCGTTGTCAATTCCAAATATGTCATGTGTGTTTGGTGACCACTATCTTACACTTATCATATCTATTTTAATTCTTCAGAGTGCTGGTCATAGAATAGGTGCTCAAAAAAGTGGTTAGTCCTGTCAGATTTGTGGGGTTGGTGATTAGCAGGGCTATTAGCCTTTAGCAAGGCTGAAAAGAACCCTTCAAAAGCATAAAAAAGTGTGAGAACCCTCCTAGAGAGAGAATGGTTCAAATCCTGATCCTGGAGAAAATAGAACATCTTGATAGGTGAAGCCAGAACTCACAGGCCAGGGTGCAGTCAGGAGTTCATCACAGCAGTTTGAAAACAGAGTCGTCCTTAAGAAAATCAGGGAAACACACTAAGAAAAGGGAGTTCTCTCCTAGTGAAGCCTTTTCTGTTCTCTCCCCCCCACCCCACCCCCAGTGAAAGTGAGCCCTCCCTCCTGAGATTTTCCTAGACTGCTTTGATCTTGAGCTTTCCTTTACCCCATGTCATTCTCCCTTAGATCATACCTGTTTTTAACATATCATACAGATTGTAAGCTTTTGAGGGCAAGG